ACTCAAATTTTGTTAACATAGCAAAATAATATTATTGTTATTTTTAAAATGAGATTAAAAGCTTAATGTATATATAAGAGACCTAGCTCCTGGCCCTACTGATAAAATATTTGATTAGTTGAGCATGATGAAGAATGCAACGTGTTTGGTACCTTTTGACTTCTTTTTTGGACTCCGCTATCGGTAGATGCTAGAGAGACTATGTATATATAGCACTGCTGAGAATTTGACGGAGCATATTCATGAAGTCTGGTCCCCCATGCTCAGCAATAGTTGGCAGCCGGTGGGCGCGAGCCAACTTTTGAAAACCAACCACCGTCCACCATCGGCCGTGAGTCCGTGACCCAGGACTCTGGGAGTCAACTCCAGCTCTTCTTTTTGATTTTGTTCTTTTAATTTTTAACTTGTTTAATACGGCGGCTGTGGTTATCAATCATCAACCTCCCGTAGTAAATGCGGACCCTCAATTAAATACTAGTAAACTGAAAAGGATTACTAAAGTAGTAGTATGCTCCTTTTGAACGTTCTGATAAAAAACCAGGACTCAGGAACATTATTATTTTTACCAATTCTAGCTAATTAAAAGCAATTATATGCGTTTACTAATCCATTCATCATGATCAACCGCAGAAAATAGCCAGTCCTGAATTTGATTATGAAAAAATGCAATTTCTTCTTAACTTATCATTGATAAATATAATACATATATTATATACAATTCCAACATGGTAGACAAAAAAAAGAATGAATCTAATTCTTAAAACTGAACGTGAGTAACGTCACATACAGGAAAGGAAAGTAAACGATGCAATTTGACCGTCGCAATTGGAACGTTGCCGCAACAGAATTAAGGAATGTTAATATATATATATGTTTTTTACATCAGATAATAAATTATATAGTAAAGATAGTGGCAATAACCCTCTTGCTTTTTCTTAATTGCTCTTTCCCAATCTCAAGTTTTAAATTTGGAATTTTTAATTTAAAATATCCTTGAGAGTTTTAAGAAAAGTTAATGATCTCTAAAATGTTAGAACATCATAAGTGGCATTTGAAAAACAAGGCCAAATGTAAATTGTCCTAATATTTTTTAGTTAAAACAAATTTGCACGGCTTAAACTTAACTATTGATTTCAACTTTATGGTAGACTCCAAATATAATAGTTTAATAGAAAAAATAATTGTGTAATATTAATTATTAAATTTGGGTCAATTTCTCTAAAATGAGATTTTGAGGTGACAATTTACTTTATTTTTTTTACACTAATTAATAGACATTTTGATTCAATACGTTACATAGCTCACTTTATAAAAAATATTGTTTTCTAGTTTAAAATTAAAAGACAAATAAATTTAAAGATGCAATCTTGCATTTTGAATATAAGAATCGGCTAAATTAATTATATTTACATTATATTTTAATAGTTGAATCAAAATAAGTGTAAAAAGTGTGTACCAATCATTTTTTTTTAAGTGCTAATTTCTTTCAACTAGAAAATATTGAGAGGCAATTGCACCTTCTACCCAAAAACGAATATTTTATTTTATTTTGATTAGTACAATAAAAAGCAATTCTCTTATGTTTTTTAAATTATTTCATCCACATATCATACAACTCAAACTCAAAATTTCTTTACTCCACGTATAAAAGAGATTAACACTAACCCCTTAGGTGATTGGTATTTCAAAAACAAACTTAGGTTCATGGATTGGTTTGGTTTGATTTGGTTTTTACTATACTTTTCTAATCGAATTTGGTTTGGTTTTTTACTATACTTTTCTAATAGAAAAATCTAATAAGTTCGAAGAAATACTAAACCAGTCTAATTTTATCAATATACCATAGCCGAATTCCTTAGATTAGTTTGGTTTGGTTTATTCATTTCTCTTTCATTATGTGTTGAAACGGCCTTAAGCTGAAAGGCGATTTCCTGAAAAGCAAGTAACACCAAAAATGGATAATCTCATTAATTTTTTGCGTTACTCATTTCTGTAATTAATTTTTTTATAGTTTAGTAATTATATAATAGAAAAAGTGTTTTATAAGATGTTTTTTATGGAGAATATGTCTAAAAATATCATAATTTAATTAGTATCTTTAAAAATCAATTATTATTGGAATTTTTTAATATAAATTATACATATTAATTTTTAAATTAAATTAATAGGTCTAATCAATTTGTTGATTACACAAAATTTAATACAATTAAATATATGTCAATAAATATAATTTTTTAATTAAAAACTTATGAATATTATATCATTTTGAAAATTGACATGTATAACTAACTTTTTATATCGAAAGATTAATTTTTGATATAAAGTGAATTTTTAAGTAGCTCTTCTAAAAAAAAGTTTAGGAGAACAGGCATT